ACTGTAGGGTACAACTTTGACCGGATTTGGAGGAAGTAGGGTTTTGACCGGATTTTCAAATGAAGATTCAAAAAGATTGGCAATGATTCGAGGGAAATGGTTTGGATATTTGGGATGAGGAGATTGAGGAGGTCCTAGGGTGTTAATTTGGGACCGGTTTGCGGTGGCGCCGCCACCGGAGGAATTTTGGGCGGCGCTAGGGTTCATGACTTTGATCCCAGATTCGAAGAGTTCCGGGTTCATTCGAGGTAAACTGGTCATGGATTGGGAATGAGGAGGTGTAGAGGAAGTCATGGTGAAAATTTTGGGGCATTTGGGCCATCACCGCCGGCGGAGGCGATTTTCGGCCGGCGGCTTACGGCGGAGGACGGCGGAATTAGGGTCTCTGATGAGAAGTTTGAGAGAGACGAGGGTAGGGGGTCCTGGGGGGGGGGTGTCATTTGGACATATATATATTAAATGATGTGGGCTTCAGGATCGTTGGATTAGATAACCTCGACGGTCCTGATTGCTTTGATCCAAAACGACATTGTTTGGGGTAGTTTAAGGCTGGACCGGGTGGGGTGTTTTTGGGCTTGGACTGGGTGATTTTGACCGGGTTTGGGGTGGAATTGGCGTTGGGCTGATGCATATTTAGCCCAAACTAACTGGCCTGATATCCTTCTTCTCTTTATTTATTTCAATTCTTTTATTTATTTCTTCTTTTCTTCTCTTTTTTTTTTGTTTAACACAAAATTAAAATAAGAACCTGATTTAATTCTATAACTAAACTAATTAACTTTCTAAAATTTACTAAATCCTAATTTTTAAAAGAAAACTAAGAAAAAACGAAATTAAAGATAAAAAAGATGTAAAAAGGGATATTTTTTTTGTTATTTTCTTCATTTTTTTGTAAAATTAATTGACTAAAAAAATGCTAACATGGGTCCTAAATGCAAGCTTGCTATTTTGTATTTTTCATGGGTTATATCAATTAATAATGCACACAAAAATGCAAACAAAACACGAAATCATGCAATTAATTCCCTAAAATTCAAATAATAAAAGAAAAATCCTAATTCTAATGAATTCTATAGGAATATTTGAGCGTGGCAAAAATCACGTGCTCACACATGTCTATATGTTTATTAAGTGAATTGGTGAAAGAAACATATGAAACTTGAGATTGGAAGTGAAGATTAGCTTAAGTCACTTCTATGGCGTTGTATTGCCATTGAGGGCTGTTGTAAGCTAAATGTAACTTGGATTTAGACTTGAAGCTACTGTAGGAGGTGTGAATATTGTGTTCTTTCATGTGCTTAAGGTTATCTTGATGTTGATTAAGTTAAATGGATGGACTAGACATGAACTAGTGAATAAAGTTGCTAATTGAGGATAGTTGGAGTTGTGATTTGTTATTAATATATGGTAAGGCTGAAGTCATTGATGAATGACTTCATTATAATGTTAACGATACTGTTAGTTTAATGTAAGGAGTTTATAAGGGGTGATATGGGGTATATGGATTCCAATTGGAGCTTGCCGCTCGTTGTGAAGTAGTTGTGGCTTATTGTTGTTATATGGTATCATGTTATTGATATTTCTATGTTGTTGGATTTCTCTAGTTGTTGTTGTTGATATATGGTACTGGAGGAGGCCCTTGTTATAGGGGAGATGCTGCCCAAATTTACATAAACGAGCTACTAGTTTAAGTTGCGGACTTAGCCTTTACTCCGCACTGATTTTGAATCCCCTTATGCTATGATAGATTGAATTGAGTTATTTGAAGAATTGCTTGGAAGGTATTAAGGACTGAACGGAGTTAAGGTATGTTAAGTCTATCCCTTCTGCCCTTTTGGCATGATCCATATGATACAAACAAAATGAGCAAACTCGGAACTTTCACAAATGACTCTATTCTTAGAAGTACTAGGGGTGCCTATGTTCTTGATTCCCCATGTGCCCTATTACTATATCGTCTGTTCTTGGGTCTCAGAAAATATGTAAGTTTATAAAACTATTTCATGATATAACCGAAGGCATATTAATCTTATGACATCCCGAGAAATCTTATTGACTTATTTCTTATGCATTGCATTCATTTATACATGTACATTGACTCATGACCAGATGGCGTTATATACGCGTATATTATATGTATATGGAGTATGGGGAAAGTTTATGGCATTATGTACGCACCACCACCTAATCAACTTTGATGATATTGCCCACAGAGTCCGCGATGATATGATGGGATGCCCTAATAGGCTTGATGATGTTATGTACGCATATACCTATGCATGGTATGAAATTTATACACATATGCATGACATTATAAATGTTTCATGATTCATAGAGCGGTTAAGGGTCTGATTTGCCCCTCTAGTATCATAAATGGGCCTTATTTATCCTCCACTTAAGTTTTCTGTCAAAAATATCCCTACCATTATAGATTAGGTGCATATTTATCCCTTACACGTTAAAAACACCCTCCTAGCTTTTAAAATCCACGTGGCATCCCCTTACTGGACCAACTGTCCCGCCCCATTATTGTAATTCAAACCCGCCCGATCCAACAAAACTACACCCATCCGTTTAAAAAATTCAATCTGACCATCTCCTTCACTCTCTATTTGCCAAAGATTTCAAAACTTCATCATGCTCATCGTAGCTTTCTGCAAATTGATCGGTCAACGATCTTAGACACAACAAGCCATCCCGGAGTGATTGAATCTGATGCTATAAGTCGATAATCAAATCGAGCTTAGAACTTAGCAGCTCCCCCAATTTTCCCAAGAAACAATCGAGAAATCCTAATCTATTTGTCTTGGGGAAGATATAACATGAAGAATCTGGAACTTTGAAACAAAACATTTTGACCTCTGCTTCATCAAACCTAAGCAATTTTTCTTGAGCACACTTCATGAGGTCTTGGAGTTCTTGATGCATATCGCTATGCTGTATAATATCTGCAAGGAAAGAGCCCATGTACACCAGTTTTTCTTTGACTACTGGGACCTGATTCTTCAGATAAGAGATTGAATAATCATCAGAGTTCATCACCCTGTCTTGGTGGTTTTTTAATAAGAAAATAATGTCTTCCCCATTTGTCACGTTCCATAAGGGGATGCATCCAGAAGTTGAAACCATACTTTTCTGACCTCTACCTTGACAGACTCATATACTCAATCTCTTGTGGCGAATCGAATAATGAAAGCATCATTTTTCAGTGCTACCTGCATTCATTAAATCTTCATAACAAAAACCACTGACTTGTACTAACTTGTTGGCAGTCCCTTCAGCTTGCCTTAAAAGATCATGCACTTCGTTAATCTCTGTGTGTCGCATGAGAAGATCCATGAGGAAAGCTTTAAGAAAAATAAGATCCTCATGAGCACTTTCAATCAGATCCAGAATTTGAGCTTCCAAAGTTGTGCTTTAGTAGATCCATCAAGATTCTATGAAACTCGATAAGCTTGATCACCCATCCGTTGTTTGCATCGGGCGTGTTTAATTAAAAAAAATGGGTCGGGTCAATTTGTCCATAAGGGGATTCCACGCGGATTATAAAAGTTGGGAGGGTATTTTTAACGTGCAAGGGATAAATATGCACATAATCTATAACAGTAGGGATATTTTTAATAGAAAACTTAAACGGAGAATAAATAAGGCCCATTTATGATAGTAGAGGGGCAAATCAAACTCTTAACCGTTCATAGAGCTATTCAGACTTATAGGTTGAATCCTTTACTCCATCTTTCTTTCATGTCTTTTATATACTACTTTTCATTCATTACATACTCGGTACTTTATTTGTATTGACATCCCTTTTGCCTGGGGACATTGCGTTTCATGCCCGCAGCTCCCGATAGACAGGTTAACAGTACTCCTAGTAGGCTATCAGCTTAGCGGAAGGTGTTGATGCACTCCACTTGCTCCGGAGTGGCCTATTTGGTCAGTATTATTTGGACATGTATTGATTGGTATGGCGGGTCCCTGTCACGATCTTTATGACATTTAAGTACTCTTAGATGCTTGTAGACAGATGTCATGTATATGGATACTTGTATGGCCTTGCCGGCCTTTGTTTTGAGTGTACAAATGATCATGTCGACCTTATAGGCCCATATGTCACATCTATAAGTTTCTAGTATCCCCTTATGTTTTATTCTGGTTTTCTCATGACGGCCCTTCTGGCCCATTTACCCATGATGGTGTGATAAGAAAGTTACGTTACGTTGGTACTCGGTTGAGTAAGGTACCGGATGCCCGTTGTGGCTCTCCGATTTGGGTCGTGACAGTAAAAGCTTTGTAGGGCCATGACATTTGTGTGGTTATAAAAGTATCTCATTAAAGGTAAAATGAGTAAAATAAAAAGTTCAAAGTTGAATTATTTTCGATTATAGAAATGTATCATTTTTTTTGAAATGGACTAATAAGATATGTGTGTCATCTAAATTGAAACAAAGGGAGTAGCTTATTAAACTATACTATTAAGTACTAGCTAGAAAATTTAACTAACCTATTTTGTAAATTTCTAAAGTTTGCTTATTTGAAAAAGTACTCTTTCATAATAACAATTTGTATTTCACTAAGTCATTTGAGAAGCATTTTTGTAGAAGCAGCTTGTGTTTGACCAATTTTTTCAGTTAAGAAAAAAAACATCTAAATATTCATTTTGCAATTTTGTTAGACTTAAAGTTGCTCTTTACCAGCAAGTGATGTAGTAAAATTGATGTGATCTATTAGCCAAGGTCTCGAGTTCTAGTATTGAAATTAATTTTTAAAAAAAAAACTCTGATCGAGAGTTCTCTCCTTTAATGGATCCTATGTGGTGTGAATTCGAACTCCTCGAGCTAAAGAACGAGGTGTGAAAGTAATAGCCTTATGTTATGGCCGCCCCCAACTTACCATATAATGAAAGGTTAAACCAAAAAAAAAAAAAAAAAAGGAAGGTGCTCCTTTATTTTATTGTTAAGGATTTCACCATCTTAAAGTTTCACAAATTGTACCAAGACAGCTGTCTCTCCAAGATCGCTTCTCATTTTTCAAACGTATTAACCCTCATTTATACAGTAGAATGAAATAGGACACACTAAGAGGTGGTCTTTTTACTTTTGTCCATTGGTAAGGTGATCTGCCCCAAAGGTCAAAAGTTTTAAGACCAACTCCTTCACTTAAGTCTGTCAAACTTAAACTAATGAACCAGTGGTTATTAAATATCTTCATCAAGTTCAAGTAAAACAATTAATCTAAACACCAACTCTTTTGATGCCTAGGCTCTACATATCAAATTTAAACTAAGATCAAATGTTTTGACATGGACTCTTTTGCTTCCAATAAAAGTTACAAATACTCTACACCTGCACTCATCTACATGCAGACATGCTGTCCAGAACACAATTTTTTTGTGTCCACTTCTTTCTTTTTCATATTTGGAGCAACAACAAAAAAAAAAGATCCTTTACAAGATGGACCACCTATTTACTCTGCTAGATGTTTGTCACCAATTTGGGATCTGATCAGAAAAATTCAGGGAGTGGTTTGCCTTCAAGAAATGACTTGAACAGCACAAGTGATCTCTCAGGTTGAGAGAAAGGAGCTTCATGAGAAGCACCTCTAATAGTAGCAAAGGAGAGGATATTATCATATACATGTGTCCATCCACCAACCTAATAACACAGCAAAAAAAGAAAAAGAAAATGACATTTTGCTTTAGAAGTAGTCTTAAAATAATAGTATGGCCTTTTTTACAGAAGGGACATGATGAAAAATATTACCTGTTGCCCTGCAAACCAAACTCTATAGGGAACAGTTGTGTTCAGCCGCATTCGCCTTGCTAGTTGATGAACAGTTGCGCGACTTCCAATTAATGGAATGACAGAATCTTGATCCCCACTGTTAAGATTTTTCAGCATCGGTGTTAGATGTCGAATAAATTGCCAAGATCACACAAGCAATTAAGTGCATGATTAAGGACCATTTAATGTGGCTGTATATGTACCTGTATATTAAGACTGGAATTCTTTCCTTGACAAGCATTCCTATAATGGAGATGGTTGGTGTCTCTATGTCCAGCAGCTGATAGTCCAGAATACTGTGGCATCGGTAAAGGGATTTTATTGATTCATCATAATATAAGAGGTTGCCCCCTCAGAGAAGCAATACAGAAAATAAAGCTTTGACATGAACTTCCTAAATAAGTATACTGTATATTTTTTGAATGAAATGTATTGATTCTACTGGCATTCGTGCGCTGTGTAAAGAAACATATTAATTTGTCTGGTTTTTGTAGGTGCACTGAGAAGCGTCTGTTCTTTAGGGATAGTTGCAAACTTGCATAGTATTGTACTAGACGCTAGTGGCGGAGTCAGGAATTTGACTAGGGGGTGTCAAAATATAAAGAAGTAAACACACGGAAAAACTAAGGGATTCAACATATAATATACTCCCTCCGGTCCACATAAGTGACCAATTTGCTTTTTCATTTTGGTCCAAAATAAGTGTCTATTTATATAATCAAGAAAAAATTCAATTTGTTTTTCCAAAATTACCCTTATGTACGTATCCCTAAAAAGTCATTTACTTCTCACATGTGAGAAGAGAAGTGCTACTATAACTATGGTGCAACATTTAATGAAGGGTAGTTTAGTCACACTAACTATTTTCGTCTAGAATTTAGTATTTACTTAATGGGTGTGCCCAAAGGAAATTGGTCACTTATTGTGGACCGTGGACCGGTGGGAGTATATACATAAAAATAAATTTTTGACCTAGCTACACAATGTAATTTTCTGGTGAAGGGATGTAAATAACTAAATATTACTAATGAAACTCGAGAGACTAGCCCATGGTGCTTATTAATGTTTCTGATAAGTTGAAGCCTATAGAATGATCCGCGTCATATTGTACTATTCAGCTATGAGTTTAACATTTATCGACAATAACCTGGAAAATAAGGTAGGTTAACGGCTACAATAGGTTAAATATACACTTACTTGCTGCAAACAGCCCATCTACGTACTCCGACAAGCTCAGCATGAAGGGCCCTTCTGACATCTTTCCTGTTCAAGTAATTGACAATTTCATCTTCCACGCATACATCTAACTTCTCGACATTTTCCTGGTAATTAGTATCAATTTTGATAGTCAATGTAATGTGATATGAACATAAGAGAAGCCTATCAAATGAAGGGGAAAACTTACTTGAGGACTTATAATCTTGGATTGGGAAAGCACTGACGAAATACAAACATCAAGAGTAACACCGTACTTGTCCACGAACTTACTTGTTTCTCTACTTACTAAGCTCATGACTCTTGAACAGATTGGCGACACAGAGCCCCTGTAGTACTCGCTGACATATCGCGAATAATTGCAAGCAGAACTAAACATTCTGTATGTTGGATCTGATATTAGACCATGAGACCAGAAGTACTCTGCCCTTGAATTAAAGTCAGTAGCGAATTCCAGAACCGGATTACCTAGCTGCAATGAAACAGGAAAAAACAAGTGATTAAAACGAAGAACTTTTCCTTTAAGTAGGTGGCTGATCCAAAATTTAGACATTGCGGGTTCTGAGTACAGAGAGTGGGTTCTAAAATGTATATTAAACTCATTTTTTGTAATACATACATACATGCACATACATATATATGGTCAGGAGCGGATGCAGTGTGCTAGCGACATATTCAATTGAACCCATAACTTACGACGCATGGTAACATTTTTTGGGTAACATTCATTAAAATTGCAAAAATAGTAGATATGAATACATAACTTTAAAAATACCATAAGTTCAATGCTAAAAACCTTAAAAGTTGAACTCGTAGAGTTTAAATCCTAGATCCGCCTCTGTATATGGTTCGACACTGAAATGTTAAGTCTGAATGACATGCAATACAAACACAATGCATATTATCAAAGATAACAACTTAGGATCTGCAACTTTTTATGAAACTTTTGGATTGTAAAAGTGAATTCATTAGGTAAACTTACTGCAACTCCTTTTAGATTGAAAATCTGCTGCTTCTTGTTAAATGCCATCATGAGCTTTGCAAGCTGAGGTACATAATGTCCTGTAACCAAACAAGCCAAAAATGTGATTAACCAAGAATAAAAGAAATAAAAATAATAAATAAATTCCCAGCTATTGCACTTAAGGAATAAACTTACCTGCATAACTTTCACCAGTTAAAAACAAATTGCTTTTTCTATACTGTGGGAATTTTTGGAACCAACGTAGCAAGAATACAAGATTGTCCCTGGCTATAATAAGAATACAAAAAGAAAATGACTTTAGAATGCAAAGAGATATAAAGCAAGTAATTTAAAATTGAGAAAGGCAAAGCTCAATTAAGTCATATAAATATCATAAAGATTCCAGAATCCTCATTAACGTTAAAGCAAAAAGATCAGCAATCACATGCTCATCATAAAAGAGAGAAAGAAAGATTAAAAGGAACAAGCTTTCGGAAATGAACAAAAAGCTGGAATCACAAAGTCTCAACGTGAAATGCATGCTGATTAATACACAATTAATAACATATGAAACAGTAATAGGGAATGGGTAAAATACCTGTTACTTCATCATTTACTGTCTCATAGGAAGAAGTATCATTTGAATAAGAGAACCCAACTCCAATTGGACTCTCCAAATATAACATGTTTGCCTCTGCAATATATTTCAAGAAAAAACATATCATTTTCTACTTCTCAAGAACTATGCAATTCCATATACAACAACAACCACAAAACCAGTGTAATCCCACGAGTAGGGTCTGGGAGTAAAATATACGCAGACCTTACCCCTACCTCCCGAAGAAAGAAAGGCAGAGACGCTATTTCCGGAAGACATGCAATTCCATAGAAAATAAATGGAAAATTTTCTTATATAATGTGATCCCACCTTTGTTCCAGCTGTGTTCATTCCTAACAAGAACTTGTCCCCTTGGTCTAAATGGCCCATTTTCAGAAAATGCACCAACCCCCACTGAAGAACATCCAGGTCCTACACAAAAAAAAAATGCAAATACTCAAAAAAAGTTAGAAACTTTATCAAGATTAAGAAAAAAATAAATGACAAATAACATCAAGAATGCTTTGAAATAAAAAATATTTGTGTACCTCCATTCAACCACAAAACTAGAGGCTTTGAAGCTGGATTTGTTTCTGCTTCAACAAAGTAGTAAAAGAGAGATCTTTGTTTCTTATCATCAACAGTAACATATCCTGAAAATTGTTGAAAACCCACTTGAGGTTGTCCTGGCAATTGTATGATCTTGTCAGGGTGAGACAATGCAGACACAATTCCTAAAGAAACACAAAAAAGAAAGAGAAAAATAGCCATAGCCATTGTTTTTGAAGTCTGCAAATTCATTCTTGATAAATATGAGAGTGAAAGTAGTTAAGAGATGAGATATATAATGTAGCTTAGTGGAGGGCAAAGAGTCATGAAATGAATTAGTGTGTGGGGGGGGGGGGTAGGGGGGGG